CGTGCCAAATGCCAGCCGCACCCTGCCGCCCGCTCCTGTTGCGCCGAACTCTTCATCCGAGACATCGTCTCCATTGCACGCATTTTCGCACGGCAAAAATATACTAGTTGAAAATAACACACATCTAGAGCCAAGCCATTACAATGCCTAGATCTTATCCCGGGTGTCTGAAGTTTGAATCCCAGCTGAGCCTACAGAAAGATACAGTGCACCACTTCTTCCTCTGAGGTGGGCTGTGTGATACACTGTGACGCAATCGTCAAGCTATCGTATCTTCATCGCCGACGTCCAAAATAGATTGCCGTGAATTATACGTGGAAACATCCCATAATGCAGACACTCGATTTCTTTATAATTTTGAAACTCATCGGACCACGTGTCCACTTTATGAATGGATGCCAACATTACATACAAAAAATTAAACGGATTTTAGTACTCGCAAAGCTTTGAGCTATGTATAACTAGCATAAATATATTTTTATACTTTCAGATCTACGTCAAAAAATTATTTTTAAAGTGAACGGAAATACATAGGTTTAAAAATAATGTTGACTAATTATAATCAGCCTTCCAAACCATCGGATCAATTCAAAGTGACCGAATGACTACATAAGGCATCAAGTAATGTAAACTAAGGGAAAATACTAGCTAGGATGATAGTATTATCTGTGGTAAAATGTATAAAGAAAATACAAAGGTAACCGATAGTGTTTTAAAATTTATTCCAATAATTAACAATAGTTAGAAGTCTTATAAAATAATAATTAAAAAAATACTTTAGAAAATTCTTGTGAGTTATATTGAACTTTGCATAGATTTTAAAAATATTATGACGCTACAACAGACGAATGATCACTTGCTGATAAAATTGCTTGTCGACACTTAATTCTAGTTTGACCTTGACCTCCTTGCAGAGGTTATATATTCATAATTCTGCATAGATATGAAGATATTGAAAACTTTATATATCACATTATAAGTATAAAAACTATAATTATTATGTTATACAGGCTTATATTATAATTCGTTTTATGTTGCTGCTTTTGGGTATTCTTAATATTAGTTTGTACTTTATTATGGAATTAACAGAAATCTCCTTCGTTGAGAGGCTCGTCTTCTTTCTTATCATATACCAGAGTTTTGTAAATCACTTCTTCGAAATGTAATGCGTTCAATCCTTTTGGTTCGGCCACTTTTATCTTAACATCGCCAGGGTACAAGATTTCTCCCTTGTTTTTCGTACTGCCCATCACTAGCGACTTTTGAAGTTTATCAATACACGGTATTTCTGTAAGAAACATATTTTTTAGGTTATGAATATGGTTTTTTCACGCATATGATATTTGGAAATGCTGTTTATCCGTCTACTTAAAACTACATGTTAATTTAACTACTGGAAAGCATTAAAATTATAGCTTTTAACATAATCGTCTCGTTGGCCTTCTTCGTATATTCAAATTTTGTCGTTTAAAACAAAATGTAGCAAAAACATAAAAACAACAGTACCACAGAAAGTATACGAGAAGGAAAAACACTGCAAATATAGTTTTTACAACGTTTATTCGTTCACAGACAAAAAAATACGTGGTTATTAATATGGCAGAGCAAATAATTTCATCAGATGTTTTTAAAAAGATAATGTCAATATTTGATGAAGATAATGTAGTATTGTGTAAATAAAATTATCACAAAATTTTGATAAGTTTAAAAAGTAGGCAAATATATTGCTTTGTAGTTTATTACATTAACCAGTAGGTTAATGTAATAAACGTATACGCAAGTAATCATACTAATATTATAAATGCGAAAGTTTAGATGGATGGATGTTTGTTAGAGATTGTAGCCTAAACGGATGAACAGATTTCGATGAAACTTGGTATGGATGTAGAAGATAGTCTGGAAGAACACATAGGCTACTTACTTTTGTTTTTTTTTTTAATTCCACGCGGGCGAAAGCTGGTACTATCATTTTATTTGGTGGATTATAAACTTCTAAAGTGTCTCTAAAACTCCTTGACCAAGAGAAATCTTATTCACGTATTAATCGCTAGCTAAGCGAATAACTAGCTTTTGCCCGCGACTCCTTCCGCGTGGAATTAAAAAAAGAGTGAGTAGCCTATGTGTTCTTCCAGACTATCCCCTACATTTTTAACAAATTTCATCGAAATTCGGTTAGCCATTTAGGCTGCAAACTCTGATAAACATCCATCCATCTAAACTTTCGCAATTGAAACAAATGATTTGAAGTATGATTTCAGTTAAACATGCTTTTCAAACTGTTAATGAATATTGAAATTAGCACAAAATAAAGAGGTACCTGATGTGACAACTTTCTTAATAGGGTTCCCTAACGCCGCCTCTATGACTCTGACGTCACGCACCAGCTGCTGGAACTCCGCGGGCGTGAGCGAGCACACGTGGTCCGTGCCCTTCAGACTCTTGTCCAATGTAATGTGCTTCTCCAACACCTGCAAATATTAAGAAGCTAGAGCTTCCTGTACAAGTAAAACGTTAAATTATTAAAACAGCAGTTTAGTTTTATACCATTTGAGGGATTCAAAAGTTGGTCGCCTCTTGTAAATCTTTCACAAAAATATCTAACAAGTTTTGTATGTAATCAAAAATGTGGTTGATTAGTCGTTAACTAAGAACAATCAATTAGATCTCCTGTGACGAATAATGTTTGGTTTACATTACTACAGTAAAGAGGGCCAGTTGCGCTTAACATTTCCGCTGGCATACAACTGGCATAATAACTGTCATAATGCCAGTAAAATAATACAATCAATGCTGTACATAAAGGACTGTGGTATACTGTACTAAATATAAATTAGGCGTAAAGATAACTCATTGTTTTGTAACTAATACAAGAGTAATAAAAATGTCAACCTTAGCACCCAATGCAACAGCTCCCAGCGCCACTGCGGTACCGAGCTCTTGTCCGGAATACCCCACTGGTATATCAAAAGAGTTCATATAATCTTGTAGAACTGTTAAATTGCAGTCCTCGAAGGGCACGGGGTAAGCAGAGATGCAGTGTAGAAGACAGAACTGCTTGTGTTCACCTGATATTATATCGTAAATAGTTTTAACGGCCTTTTTATCCACCATTCCTGTAGATATGATCAAGGGTACTTTCTTCGACGCGGCGTATTTCATGAACAGAGAATTGTTAGAATCTCCTGAACTTATCTTGATAAATGGAACTTTGATGTTCACAAGAAAATCAAACGAAACCTGAAAATAGAATTTTATTTTGATAAGTTTTTTTTACAGAAATTATTTGATCAATGTAAATTATTGAAACGAAGATACGTGGTACTTATTTTGTAATTCTGGATTATTATTTTTCGAATGTGAAAGATGGGCTAGTGACGTACATTGGACACTAAATTTAGCGAGTATCTTTTTATGTGTTGGAATACGGATGCAAGTATTTCCAATGCGGATGCCATCTCATTCACAAAAACATGGATATAAACAGAGAACTTACCATATCCATAGCTGATGCTGTAAACAATATTCCTATCTCATTGGCATATTTAAACAGTTCTCTGTACTGTGCTTCTGTAAACTCCAGATGTCTCTTGTGTTCGCCGTAGGTTTTGCCCCACGAATTGGGATTATCATATGGCCTTTCCAGATATTTCGATGTGAACTTCTCTTTGAGACATGTTTTTTGAAATTTAACACAACTCGCGCCAGAATCCTGTAATGTACAGAATATTATTTAAACGTTGATTTAAAACGATTATGTATAAATATTCTTATCCTAGAGGTTAAATAACAATGTTAATGTAATTAAATAAGAATTGTAAGTGAAGTAACAGACTATTACAATGTATGCAGCAAAAGAAAGACGTAACAATGATGTAAGTCGAATTAACGAAGACATTAGCATATAAACGACGAGCATTTTAGAAATCAGCGAACAAATAGTTAATTCTGATCAAAACTAAAAGTTTGTAAATAAGTTAGAACAATGGCGGTTGTAAAAAGGTGTAAAAATAAAATTAGTAATTTCTCTGTCCTTGGTAACAATTACGATTAGTTGTTTGTGTTGTTAATTTCATAAGCAATACGATAAATAATCTTGAACTGGCTTATTAAGTTATAAAAACAAGCGATAAAGCTGATTGTATTGCAACCTGCTATTTACTTATTGGTCTGTAAAGTTAATTCACGATAATTAAGCAAAGATAAACAAGTACCGTTAAATAAGCTACATTTGTTGTTATTTAGAAATTAACAAGGCGTCCAACTATACCGGGTTCCGATACTTTGTTAGGAAATTCTAGGACATGGGCACAGTCTTGTGTTTTCGAAAATTGTTTTTAAAAAAGATTTAAGAAAGAAAAGTTATCATTAATTTGTTACTAAATCAACTAAACGTATTGTAAATGTATGTTTAACTTGAACTTATTTGAAATGCACAGAATGAATCGACACTTTCAAAGCAAGCAAGTGCCAACATTGTTTTCGTTTGTTGTTGTTAAGTAAGGCTTAAAGTGAAAGTGTTTGTAAACTACTATTTTATAAACAGAAACAGCGCAACAAGTTGAAGTATTTGAGTATACTATCAATAATTACATACTACTTGAAGAACGCGACGAGGATGAAGGCGCCCTTTGTTTTGTTCCAACAACAATAACAAAGCGTCACTAACCTAAAACATTACCAACTCACAAATATACATAATATAATTAACATAATAGTACTAACCTTGGCTGCTTTTATCAATTTTTTCGCTATTTCAATGTCACCTTGATGATTCTGTCCGACTTCTGCTATGATAAAACACGGATTGTCGCCGCCTACTTTGATATCTTCCGTAATCTTCACTACGACCATGTTGTCAGCTGTTGAATTTGTTCCATAAAAAATAAACAAGGCGATACGGGTAGGAGAAGCGAACTAATACTGAACCGCCGCGTAGGTATATACGGAAGGTTTATCGACCTCCCGCTCAGGATTGGATTGTGTGAATAAGGTCGATTCAATATAAAAGCGGGTTGTGTGTCTCGCGGCCGATACACTAGTGCGCGGGCGCCTTGTCCGCGCGGCTTGCCTGCTCGTGCTCGCCGCGCCGCCCGCGACGCGACGCCTGATAAATGATAAAACCAGTATGCCCGCTGTCCGTTGTCGACGAGTATGACCACAGTCACAAGCTGTCGATTAGTCAATACCGTGATAAGGCAGTGAAAACATTACATTAACGACACAAACAAATCTCCTTTAACTCATGTTTACCACTTTTGGTACAGTTGTTTACAGATGCATAAATTAGGAGGATGGGGTATTAAGCTTGAAGAACAAGTTATCTTAAGGAATATCCACCTACATTTAACAAATAATCATATAAGACATTCCATAAATCTGTTATTCCGCGATAGTTGCATCTTTTAATACAGAATCTGGATCTTAGATGATCTGTTAACAATTTTGATGGAAAACACTACTCATATATGTAAGTATAAAACCTAGGGTTTTGTAGTGTATGGTAAAACGAGTTTATTAAAAATATCGATGGCGTCATAAGTTAACGTACAAGTAAAGCGAATGTTGCACGCATTTACGTACTTTACGCTCAAGTACGAAGTACAAATGTACGTTTGATGAATCCAAAAAAAATAAATAAAAGGCATTGTTGCTATTGTATTGTAGTGCGCTTAAAGAAAATTATACAATTCGTAAAATATGCGCATTAGGCTGATCTCATTCGGGAAATGAAATGAAAATTTTAGTATCTCGTCTGCTCTTGTGATATAAATCATACGCGTCTATAATGTAATCAAGTCAACATAAAATACTAGCTTTCGCCCGCGACTCCGTCCGCGTGGAATTGAAAAAAACAAAAGTGAATGGCCTATGTGTATCCATACTATCCTCTAAATCTATGCCAAAAATCATCGAAATCCATTCAGCCGTTTAAACTACAAACTCTAACAAAAATCCATTCATCCATCCATCCAGCCATGCATCTATCTAAACTATCACATTTATATCATTAGTAAGAAGTAAGATAGTAAGATGAATAATAACACACAAAGAAAAAGGGCGGCTAAAAGCAGATCTGAGTGATGTCACTTATATGATAAGCTAACTAACATGTAAACAGTTTTGAAATCAAATGAACAAATATCGATAACAACTGAAATACTTAAATTGTAAATATCAACTTTGTGTACTAAACGTTTCAATAACGTCCACAGATATCGCTATTCATCATGTTTACATGCTATACATATTTGATGGTCTTAAACTTTTTTTTATAACATAAGGTGGAAAATGAGCAAGCGGGCACCTGAATCCACCGAAATAGAAAGCGATCGCTGCCTATAGACATCCCTAATTGCAGATGCGTTGTCTACCTTTAATTGATGGAGGAGGAAACGCACATAAAGAGGAAATTTTCCCTTCCTATACGTCTCCTCCACCGACAAATCCACTTTTCCTTCCCATCCCTATTAAGAAAAGGGTACAAAGGGAACGGGACTAAAATTAGCTTTTTTTTTCGTTCTAATACCATCAATTTTAGGACAACTAAATATACAAGTAAATTAATTAGAGCCAATTTATGTTATTTAAATGCAACTGAACGTTTCGTCCTTATCAGGGCGCGGCAAAAGGAGTCGTGCAAGTTTTAATACTTGATACTTTGTAATTCATACCGACAAAATGCATCATTTTCACAGGAGTTCGAAGTGCCAATTCCAAAGAACGCACTGATCGCACTAATTGCTGCAATTCTGATGGTACAAGCGAGCATTGATGATCCGTGCCCTTCATACTTCTGTCTAAAGTTATATGCTTCTCTATTACCTATATAAAACAGGAAAATTATTTGTACTATTTGTACTTACACTATTACAAAGCAAATGGGGGTGAAAATTTTGTGAATATTCTCGCCTTATTTAACTTTTATAGTTACAAATTTACGTACCTTAGCTCCTAAAGCGACAGCTGCTATAACGACCTTTATTCCCAACTCATGACCAGAGTAACCCACGGGAATATTAAAACTGTTAGCGTAATCCTGTAGAACTCTCAGATTGCAGTCTTCGTATGGCGTAGGATATGCCGACACGCAATGTAGTAAACAGAACTGTTTATGATGACTTGATATCATATTGTAGATGGTTGTCACAGTTGCCTTATCTATCATTCCTGTAGAAACTATCAGTGGAACCTTCTTGGAGGCAGCATATTTTATGAAAAGTAGATTGTTGGAGTCCCCAGACCCTATCTTGATGAATGGTACTTTCAGACTGAGTAAAAAGTTAAACGATTCCTGAAATTTGAGATGTCACGTTAGGAATATGCACAGAGTAAATTATTTTAGGCCATTCTTAAATATTTTATATCACTAGCTTTCGCCCGCGACTCCTTCAGCGTGGAATAAAAAGAAACAAAAGCAAGTAGCCTATGTGTTCTTCCAGACTGTATTATACATCAATGCCAAATTTCATCCAGATCCGTTCAGCCGTTAAGCCTACAAACTCTAACAAACACCATATAAACTTTCGCATTTAAAAATTAGTAAGAAGTAAGATTTACACCATAGAAGAAGAAAACAGCTATAAATGTTTGAAAGTACCATATCCATCGCAGAAGCTGTAAACAAAATATTAAGATCTTGTGAATATTTTAACAGAATTCGATATTGTTCTTTGGTAAATTCTAAATGTCGTTTGTGGTCGCCGTATGTCGAACCCCATGAATTGGTGTTATTATACGGTTGTTCTAAGCGTTGTTTTGTAAACTTTTCTTCGAGATTACTCTTTTGGAATTTAACGCAATCGGCGCCGGCTTCCTGTAATTAAGTATGAAATGCTGTAAAAGCGATAGACGAAGATATATTAAACATAAACCAATGGACTATAATCTAGTTTTCAGTTTAAAAACTTAAGACTAACCGTATTTCTACCTTAAAGGTTACTTAGCTTACTCTTGCGCTGATAAAAACACTTTTTGTTAGGCTTTTTGGTTATTTGATGTTTATTTATCTGTTTAAATATATTTTTGTAGTTCTTACTTAACGTGACTTAAAGTTAAATTTAAGTTAAGTCATATGAAACGATAATTATTTGAACAATGTTGACTAAGCTGTTTAGTAAAGGTTCCGGCATTTTTTACATTTAACAATTCAAATAAGATTCTTTGAAATTTAAACTTACCTTAGCCGCTTTTATCAGTTTTTTTGCAATCTCGATATCACCTTGATGATTTTGTCCAATTTCAGCGATAATAAAACACGGGCTGTTACCACCGATTTTAACATTATTTGTAAGAATTACTGTATTCATATTTAATTTTTAACGTCTTCGGAAAGATTCCAATAACATGGGAGTTGGCTCGGTCGCACTCAAATATGAAGGTCGAATTAATTTTTCGGGCACTGCATGTGGAGGGCTCAAACGAATTCAATAAAATGATACTAAGATAACCATGATTCAAAATATCTTATTCGGGACATTCCCAGATTTCGCTTTTACGACGATTTTAAACCACAGGTAAAACATTATTATTCATAGTAAACACATTACTTGTAAAAAACACATAAATAATTGCATTTTTTAAATATCACTCCAAAAAATACTCTTATTTTGTGTAAACTCAATAACTACAGGCTACTGTATTCAAAATACAAGCCGATATTAATTACATTTTACAACCAAAATACACTTAAAAGATTAAAATTTTTCAACGGTACAGACAAATAAATGACAAATAAAAATTGATAGATTTATTATACACTTTGTACATGGAAATTTACATTAACTTCAGTCATCCATTTAATTGACTGTGCATGTAGCTATTTTAACAATGTCGCTATGATTTTTAAATCTATCATTAATGGCACGATTTACTCTCGACTCGGTCATCTTTCCCAGGAAGTTTGAAATATAACGACCTGCTTCGATCAATTTGACCAAATCAACATCGGTATTAACTCCAAGGCCGTATAAAAAGTATACTAAGTCTTCCGTTGCTAAGTTTCCAGTGGCCCCGCGAGCGTATGGACATCCCCCAAGACCTGAGATTGATGAATCCACAGTCTTAATGCCGAACTGAAACAAATTGCGCATATAAATCATGGCATTCTACGAAAACAGGGCCAGAAAGCTTCGTTTATTACGAAATTAAAGAAAAAAATATGTAATAAATAACCACTTTAAAAAAAACCTCAATTGTTGGATTCTTAAGATTTTTTCAAAGTTGGAATTCGCAATTCCTTAATATTCTTCCGTTGAGAGTTAAAAACTCTTTAGTTATAGCGGATATTAATGGCTGGAAATAACCATCGGACTTCCGTCTGTCCGTTAGCGCGTTATAAAAAGTATTTATTTTGTTATTATGAAAAAAAAAAATACAATGTAAATAAAAAGGAAGCAGGAAAAAGTTTCAAGAGTTCTGTATGCTTCCTACTTCCGAACTATTTAACTCGATAATTGCTTAGAAGGATATTTCTAGTTTTAGATCGTTTCGATTTTGATAATTTTTTGCACACTCATTGTGAGCTAACTTGCATTTAAAAAAAACCTTGTTAATATGGTTTTATTTTGATTTGTAAATAATAATAGAATCATTTATCTCTTATCAAGATAAAAGCTATATGACAAGAGATTATTTACTTTTCAGACTTATCTTTCCCATTACATAATATTTAGAAATTTCTCTACAATTGTATTAATTTTAATAAAAAGAAACAAACTAAACTTACTTCTAATCCAGCAAGTAAATTGGAGAGACCTTGACCATAACTGTCATGGAAATGTAATGCTAAGTTCTCCGGCTTAGCAACTTTAACCACCTCATGCATAAGTTTTTTCACCGATCCGGCCGTGCCCACTCCTATTGTATCGCCCAGTGACACCTCATAGCAACCCATTGCAAACAGCTCTTCTGTTATCTGTAAAATAGAATAAAACCGATTGTATTAAACAGGAAAGGTTATAGCATTATTGCTGACATAGACAAGATTTTACAGCATGACTAAATTGGAAAACAAACTCATTCAAAATAAGGCAAAGTGCCACCAAGGCCCCCTTTTTATTCCACCCTTTAAGACCGGTGCCCCGGCCGTTTGCACCACCTCGCCCAGTCCTAACACTGATATTGGTTATAAAGGTTTCTAATATCATACTGTTTCTTAAGTTATTGCACAATTCATTATATTTTATTATGAAAATATTCCACTATTTAGAAAATTCAAGTGTATGTTACCTTGGCTATAATTTTAGGATGAATGGGACCATCATATGGGCATCCCACAACACAAGATATATAGCCTCGAACCCTCAAACCGTCTTTTATAGCCTGAACAGCGACTTCTTTAAATCTTTTTAAGCCTTCTTCAACAGAACAATTTAAATTTTTCTGTGAAAATCCTTCTGATCCAGCAGGAAATATGGCAATTTCTTCAATGTTGCATTTTATCTGTAATGAATATAAGTTTTATTAATAAAAAGATATACCAAAGTAATACTGTAATCAATAATGAACAAATGACAAAAGAATTCTTAAATCTTAAGAAAAAAAAAACAATGTTTTACTTACAGCTGTTTCATAGCCTTTTAAATTGGGTATCAGTACTGGATAATTTACTCCAGGACTTCTTTTAATGGTTTTCATTACTTCAACACCATCACTCATTTGTTTCATCCATTTTGGACTTACAAAACTGTAATGATTAGAAACTTTAAGCTATGTACAAAACAAACTCAACATATTTCTAATTGTAAAGATTACCTTGCGGATTCAATATTTTTGATACCAGCTGCAGCAAGTTTATGTATAAGTTCCACTTTCATATCAGTAGGTACAAATTTGGACTCATTTTGTAAGCCATCTCGAGGTCCAACTTCGTAAATTCTTATATCGGGAACCGTGCTCTGTAAACATGATTTACACTGGCACAAATTATTTTCGTTTAAGTTGTATTAAATGTCTAGATATTTGCAGTTCAAAGGTGAAGGAAAATTTAACTAGTTAAAAAAGGGAATAGTACTTTGTGAATTTGAAAATACTTACTAGTGTTCGAATATAATTGTGTTCGTTCTTTGTTTTTAACTTTATCACTCTCTTTAATGCATGCATTTTTAAACTTTTCTAATAACTTATCTCTATTCTATTAAAAACGAGTTTGCTCTCGCAGTAATAATATGCAAATAAAACTTGTCTTTTGTCTTACAAGGTCGTATTTACCAAACATTTCTTATCAGACTGGTTTTAGATAATGATAAGAAACTTCAAAATCAAATTCAGACACATGAAGATTATAACTATACCCTCTAATGTATTTTAGCTTTATGCCTAGTACACACTTAGCCAGTACAGTTGGAAAGTAACAAAGGCCAGGCGAGGCTTGTAAAGGCTCACTCAATGGAACGCCCAACTGTTGTGGCCAAGTGTGAACCTGGCATTAGGATCATTTCATAAACAAACGAAAATCATACAAAACAGCAAATATAGCGGTTGAAGAAAGAAAATTATTCTTCGAGCTGGCTGGAACCCCTTGTTGCAAAGGTTCCAGTTCTATTGATATAAAAATGGCAAGATAGAAATAAGTTGCCAGGTTTTTTATTTTTGTTGCCATTTTTTGTCACTAGTTGTCAGTTGTCATAAGTTGTCACTGTCACTAACGCTTATTGGATTTTCAGATTCATCGTTGGTTATTTTGCCGGTGAATTAAGTAATAATTGTTGATAAGAAGAATTAAATACATTTTAAAACAATGGGTAATTGATTTTTTTAATGAGATAAAGTTCAAAGTAAACTGTAAATGTTTATATTTCAATTTATTAAAACATTTCAGCGGTAAACAGTGCCACGTCTTTCGTTTTATCCAGCATCCTCACATTGTTGATATTTTCTGGGATGCAAATGTATAAACCACTTCTAGTACGGTCGCCGATCACAATCATATTTGGAGGTTATCTTGGTTCACTGATGTTCTTATTTTTTGTAACAGTATCCTTTTTAAGTATGTAATTTGCTTCTTTTAGGTGTTAACTCATTTACTCTAAACATTTAGAGATATGTGAAAACTTATAGATGAATGAATAATGCATTTATTGTGCAAATTTCAGTATTTTTATTGACTATTGTCATTTGTGAAATTGCATTTTTGTTATTATGCTATCCATCTTGATGAAAGTGCTCTTACATTTATTTAGATAATGATCTCAGATGCCCATACATCATAGGTTTGTGAAAATTTCTGTATAAATGCTAGTTCGCTCTAGTGAGTGGAATAATTATATCCTTAATGGTTTATTCAGGCAGTAGGAAACTTAGAAGCAACATTATTTGGTAAAAACTTTCAATTAAAACTGCCAGAAATTGTTCTGTCCATGGCAATATCACTCATTGCTGCGGGAATGGTGCATCGGATTTGTTTCACAACTTGGTAAACAATTTTATTCACTTTAACTATTATGATTATGGAAAGAAATGCTAGTAGAAATACTTATTGTACCTGTCTGTATAATTATAGCATTATTGTCAGTTAGTGTTATGAAGATTAATAATAAGGTTTTATTGTATTAGTATAAATCTCTGGTTATTACTGATGTTTTTAAAATGTGTTTCATAGATGATAGGAAAATAATCACTTTGATTTTTAATATTTATTGTTTATAATCTACATAACCTATGTAAAAGTCTTTTAATGTATCATTTTTATTTACAGTTTGATATTTTCTCTCATGACAATCTACTACATGAACAAGCTGTCACAGAAAGCATATGCAACGGTAGCCCCAGTCGCCGCCCCCGCCAAATCACGTAGACATAAATGAGATGTTTAATATTATTATATTTTTAATTTTTATACTGATAGAATAAAATCACATTTCCAGACTATCTTCCTTTTTATATTAACATGAATAAAATATTATTTTTAAATGGTTGGATTTTTTAAACCCAGTATAGAAAAATTGCCTTGTTTGGAATAAAACAAACTTCTATATGCCGCCAGCCGCCGGATTCCCCGATGTCATGCATACCTACAGAAAGACAAAGCAGATATTCCAAGCAAGTATAAAAACAAAGTCTCATATGACTCACAAACAGACATTTAAAATAATCTTACCAGTCTCTATCTTATCATTTATTTTAATGATACAATAGAATATACTTTGAATTGTATATCGAAAAACAATTTTTTTACTGATTAGGCTACTTTTTCCACTTTTAGACACACATTCAGTGTGTGTGTGTGTCATTCAATGTGTACACAGTGTAACAGTGTATAACTATTTTTATACAAAATATGTTGTCGCAAAAAATTAGCAGTGCATGGTTTTAAAGTTACGTACAATCAGATCCTATTGTGTCTGTAAATTTAGATAGAATGTTGAGTTTGCTACGTAACTAAGATTAAATATCTGTTATCAAGTCAAATCTTCGAATGAGGATCATTCTCGTTTATCTAAAGCGGTTGATATATGAGTCAACAAGATATTGTATAACTAACCAAAAACTTTATTTTTTAGTCAGATAGTTACAGGTATTTGCAAGAGTAAACTTTCGAACCCGGACCTCCTATTGGTTAAATGAATCGATCGATCTTGAATAGTGAGGTGTCCATCGGGTCATTTAATATTGCTTGTTTATAGTTGTTAATTATACGGCAAATAAAGAAAAAAAAATCATAAATGATTTATTATTGTGCATACAAATGTTTCGCAATTATTTTGCATTCATGCTGGTACGACTTCATTCTTCAATGCTTATTTAAAAACCTGTTCGCACGAACCGGTAGGATGCCTCCGCTGAATCACGGCATAATACCCTTGCAATAACTTTCGCACCTATTGTATTCGAGTATACAAAAAGATTAGATAGGACAAAAAAAGGATTTAAAAAGCCACGCATAATACAAACAGTGATTCAAAATTAAGTACATTAAGACAGAGGATTTGGATCGCTGAAATATTAAAACATGTTTCCTCAGTCAGTTTCCCTATTAAAATTATAAATTTTCTTCATCATCACCAGCTCACTATACGTCACCCTTGAGGGGCTCACCTGTGACTCTAAGTTAGGGTGACTAGGCCACAGTCAACCACGCTCCCATACTGCGGGTTGGTTGACTTAACACATATCTTTGAATTTCTTCGCCGATATGTGCAGGTTGCATCATGATGTTTTCCTTCACCGTAAGAACGTCGGGTAAATTATGTGCATATAAAATTCTAAAAATCGATATTCACATTGGTATATGGCGGGATTCGAACTTAAGACCTGTGGATTTCAAGTCAAATGCTCCAACCCCTGTGCCACCGACGCTCTAAATATCTCCAAATATTCTATTGATACCCAAACTTCAGACAAAAATGTATATCTGTAAAAGCTAGATGCCCAGATATCAAGTCCAAAACATCTGCCAGCTCTATTAAGCCAAAAACGTCCTGTCGGTAAAAGGCAGATTTAATTTTTCTCCATTGTAACAATAGCAAAAAAAGGCAAATCATATTGGAATTCAACCGCATTAAAATTCTCTTCGACCTATTGCTTCATTGCAAATGGTATACGATCGAAATTGATTCCAGTACACGCGCTCAATTGAATATTCGCTCACCGATGTTCCCTACTCGGCCTCTTGCTTATGCAATGAGTGTCAAGGGTCACATGAAATGTCAACCAATTATTGCTCATCTGCTGAGGAATTACTGCTGATTATTTTACAATGAAACATGACTGTGTTGGTTAAATTGAATTACGAATTAATACTTTTTTATTGACAGAATCATCATCATCCATCTTATCCTACTCCCGTAGGGTCGGCGCGGCAGGATTTTGTCCTCCAAATAACTATCATATGCCGTCTCAGTCACCACTCCCTTTTTGATCATGTCACCTTTCACGCAATCCATCCATCTCTTTCTAGGTCTACCACTACCAGTGTACCCTTCCACACCCATAACTTATATATAACATAAATTTAATTATCTTTAATAAGCATAAGGTTATCGTTAGTTTTCAACTTTAAAATTAAAACAGACATGTATCTTGGCAATGAGTCATAGTTCATTTTTTTATTCACCAGGGGAGTTATTACTTGTATGCGACATTATTCAAATATTTATATATACTTAGCAAATGTTGATGTGATTCAAATCATAACTTCAATTGAGTGTAAAATGCATTATTTTGTATACATTCTTGATGTTCTTAAAAAGGGTAAACTTTAAAAGAAAATAATATTGTTAATCAAAGTTTATTTATTAACTTTTAATCAATTCATGAATATAAACATACTTTTCTCTTAACTATTAGATATGTGAACTAAATAATTTAAGAGTTAGTAGTTTATTTGTTAATTACAATAAGTTTGAAATCAAACAATTGATTGGTTAAAAAAAAATCAAAGGAAGTAAATAAAATCAATTTAAATATTTAAATGAATTAAAATAATAAATAATCGCTAAATAAATCTTTGAGTTACAAATAAGGCTTTTAGTAATCTATTTTAAAAATTACAATTCACATCTCACTCAGTGGAGAATATAAGGTTACCTTGTTCGATATGCAAGCAAAATTGTTATATAATTGTGTTCCTCAGCGCAACCTAAGTCATAAAAGTGGCATAACAGAGGGCTATAATGCTTTCTCATAACATTATTAACAAAGGTAAAGGACAAAAACCATCAAAATCATTTAATTCTATCTCTCAGACTGCACAGAGAGAAAAACAATCATATAAGTTTATCAATAAAACTAATATAAATCTATGAAAGTAAAGACTTGTTCATCTAGTGCCAAAATCTACTCTAAACCCAGTTAAGACAATAACTATAGTTGGACCTTGACAGCATTTTACACCTAAAGTGGTTATAATTAATAAATGACGTAAAATCACTTAATAATTTTTTTATATTGCACAGATATCATCAATGAAATTGAAAAATACTTCTTTATATGAAAGCTACTTTTACAAAGGTATCAAGTCATATAAGAAAAACATTCATATTAGAGGACCATTAACTCAGCCTTTTTTAATCTGATTTGTGTATGGTTTTACTAGTTGGTTAAGTGTAAATATTAATATTTATTAATTCATGACCAAACATGATTCACCAACTTATACATGTCACTGATCAATTGTGAATGCTGTCCTTTTATAATTTGCCTACAAATTTTAAAGAACTAATGAGATATTCTAACACTTTTATAAAATGAGGTAATTTATATAATAAATGGAATTAAATAAACATTTTCCACAAACCAACTAATAAATAGTTTTCTATATTTAGATATGATTCATAGGATTATTAATCATCATGACATACATATGGTTTCAAGTTGGATTTACCGAGTTTTTTTATTACACTTGCGTAAATATGTTGAAAATATTGCTACATTAAAATTGCAAAATTGACAACTATTTTATTTGTCCATTGTAGTTTAAACATACAAAAAATAAAATGTAACAATTCTTAAAAGATTTATTTTAATGAATTGCCATAAATAGTATTGTAAATAACTACATAATTCAGTAATTACATATGAACTGAGACCTGAAGTAGTACATAAACATTTTTCAACAAATTTCATGTGCACTTTAACAAATTGGGAATGTTTTTACTCATGGACAAAAAATATGGGATATATTTGGCACTCAGGTTAAAGTGATCACTTAACAGGTGATATTTGCTTTTTTGCTTTATTGCTAAAAGATATTAAGTTTAGATAACATTGACATGTTTGTTATATATAAAGTGAGTATGTTTTTATTATAATGGCTATTAATTTAATAATTCTCATAGTATTTTATTAAATGAAATTTGCTGTATCACAGATTTAGTAAAATTTATAAGGCACAAACAGTTGAAGAAATATTTTACTAGCAATTAATGTAAGGAAGTACACTTGTATTTTATCTGCACAATAAAGAAGAAATTATTTAGTCTATAACTAGGAATCTCATAACTCAACTGACAAATACTTACCTAAGATTATTTTATAATACTGTGCCACAGTTTTCAAGACATCCAATATCTTTTGTTAAAATTTAAATTATACCATAAGTTATCCACTATGACACAATCTTTGCATTAATAATTTTTATTTTGGATGGACTCGATTCTGTAAAGTTTTTTCAAAATAGTGATTATCATAAAAATATAATTCACTTCTGATGGTAAATATAGATTTCAGAAAGTTTTAAATTCACTTGTTTCTGATATGCATACTGTTATTTCTTGTATATGGGTTTTGTAAGATTCTTGGTGTTGTTTCCATCACTCTAAGTAACAATTCATCTAGATAATTTTCTAAATCTTTGTTCTTTTTCTTTTCAGATTCCGCATCTTTCTGCATGTTATAGATCATGACAATTAAATCTTCTCTTGTCTTTCCATCAAACTGTTGCAGGACAGTCTTGGGAATGTTATTAAATGCTGGATTAATAGAATCTTCTTCAACAATGTTCTCTTCACCAACAATAATTCTCTCCTCTAACAATTTCTTTGGTTTGTTATTGTTACCAAACTTTTTAAAGAACTTTGGACTAGGCTTCTCTTTTAGAGAACTGGGACTATCCAGTTTCTTATTTCTTTCTAGACTTGATGACTTTTCTCTATCAATAGTACTCTGACTGTTGGATTTTGGACGGGAGTAAAGTTTTTGAGACCACTCATCATTTTTATCTATGACTTGTGCAGGCAGCTGGGGTGCTGTGAATGTGTCTAAGCTCAAGCGGACAGGTTTTTGAGGTGCTAACTTATCCGGAACTGCTAAATTACTGCTTGTTGATCTTCTCAGAAACTCTCCACCTCCCAGGTTTTCAAGGGAGGCATTAACAGGAGATGGAGTATATTTATGGCCTCTAGGTAGTGTGTGAACATTGAGTGAACTCCCAGAACTCTTATGGGACAGGTCATCAAAGGCAAATTCATCGTCATCTTCACTAATTACACCTGGGTCTGCTTCCCCTGATAATCTTTTAGGGGTCGAATGGTCAGGCGTCAGCAAAGTCGGAGTTTTAAGATTCCCCACACTGCCATCTAGTGATAAAGAATCACTTTTCTTATCTTTCTTGGTCAGATTAATTTTGGAACCGAGATTCTTAGCAAATTTCTTAATACCTTTACGTTTTTCAATGCTTCCGATACTCATAAGGCTTCCGCCTACATTTTGAGCAATACTTGACAAAGACGATTTATGTTTTTCCTTCTTACTAAGATCCGTCAGGCTTCCTTCTTTTACGGTAAAACCTATTTTCACTTCAAGCTCACCCCTTTTCTTATCATTTTCTTTTCCAGTTTTACCTTGCAATGTATACCAGCGATTTCTTGGACGTTCATATACATCGAGGTCTTTTAACGGAATCGATACTTGACCTAATAAGTGATCCTTTACAAAATCTTCATCGTATACTTTTAAAACGATTTCAGCAGTATTACCGTGAGTTGGAATGCGTAGTTCACATTCTTCTAACCATTCGACGTTCTCAGTAGCTTTGTGTTTCACGGAAGTTTGAAACTTTTCTTTACTGAGGGCAATGGTAACAAAACAGTTATTTGTACCGTTTTTACCTTTGATTAGTAATCCACGGGCTCTTTGGACTGTCACTTGCACATGTGTTGGATCCCACATTTTATTAAAACAAATAGTAATAACGGAGCAATATTTTTGTTGATGGAATGTACAAAAAAACTACTGTTATACAAACGATGAGCTGTCGCAGTCAATAATCATAGACCGTCACCCGTCACCCGTCACAATTTGTTTGTTGAGTTCCGTTCAGTCATTCGCACAATGTCATTCAATCAATTACTCATAGACCATAGACTTAACGTCAACGTCAAGTTTGTTTTTAATTTCCAATATTTACAGCTCTGGACTCTTGGTCATCTGAGCAACGATAAATGAAAATGTTAAAAAAATAAAGTTCACAATATTCTAACAGTTAAACGACTACCTAACATGACCTCAATCTATAAACGTTTTTAACACTCTGAAGAACCTCCAGCTGTTCTTTGAATTGGAGAAAGGGTAAATGAACAATGGACACCAAGAAGTGATCATCGATACCAATGGACATTTGCAAAATCAGAGGAACTGCAGGTAATAAATTCACTTTTGGAAGGACGCAAGGTCGTAGTGGTTTCGAAATACCCATTGTTTTTGTTAAGGCTATTGGACAGTCAGCTATTATTAAAAGTAAAGGTCGGTATTGTTTGTAAAACTAAAAGGCCATTAACGCATATAATGCAGTTCCTCCGGTGTTTTGTGCCCATGATGACCTAGGTATTTCAGGACCTTGTGGAGCCCTTAATCTTATATAAAAATAGCATATAACAACGAATAAAAACTATTAGACTAAAATACAAATTTTATTACTGCGATATTTACAGATAACTTAACATACAAATTAAGCCACATACACGGAAGTAGTGAAGACAAAATGTAAACAACATAATTATTTTATAATGTTAATTGTAGTTTAACGTTTCTAATGCAACATTTATTACGATAAAACCAATTTAATGCAGTTGGCTACCAACTTTAGGGCACCACTTTAATGCCACAACCATTGATCAGTGATCAATTAATTTTTGAAATCAACATGTGTTTTTTGTAGCTATCTCTCAGGCGCAGTAATTTCATCCTGCCGATGCGGGGTACCGCATTTGTTGCATAACATTTTGAATTCCTGCAATTAATAAAATAATGATGTGATATATTTACAAATCATGTAAGAAATTAAACAAGAAAAAAAACTAAAAACACTGATACAATTAATACACTCACAGTTAATATATTTTTTTTAATACAATGCAATATGAAATGCAGTGTTTCAGCTCAAATTATGCTTAAATATTTACCAGGTTATAAAATTCGCGAACTCGGTTCATGACAATTTGATGACATTTTGGATGCCACGATACTGGGTTCATGAAATTGGCCGTCCTTGTCGCGATGTTCTCTAGATCTTTGAGATTATCTGGTTCTGGTGGAGGCACGGTACTGAATGCTTTGTCTAAAGTATCTTTGTCCGTCTCAATTTCTTTCGGCAAATTCACCATGACGGGGACGTTGCTCGCTTTGAGTGTTACTTCAAAATGACATTGTACTTTCGATTCCAGTTTGCAACAACTATTCAATTGTCTATGGAGGGGGGATTTATACCTGACTTTACCTATTGTCTTAAGTCTTTTGTTAGACGAAAGGAGGTTTAATTTTTTTGTATTAATATACGTTAATATAATAGGATTTTGAATATGGTGTAAATAATATATTAGATACTTAATTTTAATGTCTCGTGCTAAGAGTACCCAAAGATTACTTGTTATATCTCACATTATTACCATGAATCTTCAAGAAAACAAAGTTGCGAAGATATTATTGAACTTATTACTGTAGTAAGGAATAGTCAGACAACTTTTACACCTATATGAAACAAAAAGTCGCGTCTAAATTATACGGAACGTATAAAAGATGATTGGATTTTTCTTCGAAAGAGAATACAAGAATTGTATTTGTATTTTTAAAGTTTTTCGTCGAATCTAATTTAAAGAATATTATTTGAACACGGATTATAATAAAACATAGATTTGTGTCTATTTAAGTAGTAAAAATGAAAAGACTTTAATAGGCAATTTAAAATCTATGTAATTTATAGTTAATTAGGGTAACCATTTACATCCATATTATTATAGCTAACTCTATAATCTCTATACTCTTCATTTTTTTTTCTAAATTAAACCCGAATGTGAAAAATGAAGTCTAAGTAATACGTATTAATGTGTAAATCATTGAATTTTGTAATTCAAAGTCGAAAGTTTACGGTCCACGTCATGAAGCCTCGGTAAGCAGATGCTACTCACAAACAAACATAGCAAAACAAACTCGTTATCTTTAATTACGTATAAGTTGGCGAAGGTTTCAATTAATGTTCTCAGTTAATTGCTAATTAAGGTTGTATATTAAATGTAAACATTTTTGTTTGTAGAGAGCTACAATAATACGTTGAACTTTCATGCGCATGTAAACATCAAACAAGATTTCATACTTTTACACAACTTGAGAGAAATAGTATTTTTTTGCTAAAGAATGTTATGAATTTACATAATAGAATATGTTATTGTATACAGAAATTATTATAAACGACAAAAGATATATTTTATTCAACAAATATAATTTAGTAACTGTTTGTGAATATAAATTACAATTTTTAATGCCTATTCAAGTCGGTTTGATTTCAAAAATACTGACTCTAAAGTCTAAAGGTACAAATAAGTTACAATGTCTCAGGTCGTAAAGTAGTAAATGCGCCAATTAATAAACAACCCTAAAAGGCTTACCTAAGGCGTTGTTAATTTAGTGGGTTTACGACTTGCTATTCATAAATCCAGGTTATTACTTTTAAAAGATTTTATGGCTTTACTCTTAACCGTGTTAATCGCTAAAGCTTTATTTCTGGAAGACCAACATTGATCCTACAATTTTCCATAACAATGAAATGAATGTGCAATAAACAATGCATATTCTTAGGATTATCGCGAAGACAGAAAAAATGTGATGTTGGTTTTGGTGTGTGTAGATTTAATTTGTCTTTGTTTAAAAAGTTTTCTGACTAAAGGGAAATGAATCAAGTGACGGAAATTGTAGTTTATGACTAGTTTTAGTGGAATCCGGACGAAATGTGTTGCATCTACAATGCTGCAGAAGTGTGAGAAGTGACGTAACAAAGCCCTTGTTGCAGCGTTAAGTCTTTAAAAATCGTCACCTTTGATGTCGATTCTTTGAGATTCATGTTTAATACGAGTTGTATTTGAAACTGCCTATGTCATGTAAATGTATACAGTCGTATAATAAGTAGACAGGGAAAAATACGGATTTTTATCGCAAGCCGAGAATTCGCTGTTAATCTCTACTACATTGAAAAATCTATTTGCATTCAGTGTCTTGGTTAGTTTGTTGAGCAGAAGTTTATATTTAAAAACATATGTAGCATTGCTAAATTGTTTTAATTTATTAAAAAAATATAAATAATCTTCGCAGATTATCTCTCTTTAGTATAAATAATATATGGCACATAATTAATTATAACATAAGTTTAAGCTAAAGTTTCTAAAGCCGCTAACGCTCGGGGGCTAATAACTCGTCCTGATTATGTGGGCCACTGCATTTTTCGCAGAGAATCATAAAATTCTGAAAATATAAAAAGTTCATTTTACTTCAATTCATAGGTTATTTTAGATAACTTATCAATTTGTAACATGTAATTCTTACCATGTTATATTGTTGTCTTAGTAGATCCATAACATGTACGTAACTATTCGGTGTTTTCGTTCCATGTTTTTCCATAAGTCTAACTGAACGTCGAGCTAATTTCTCTAATTGGTGTAATCCAGTGGGTTCGCTATGCCGTTTCATTTCTTCTCTACTTCGTCCAAGTCTCATGCCCCATGCGTGATGACTTCTTGTTCTTAACCTTTCTCTGTCATCATCTTGTACATTTCTTAAAGATATTGCAGGTAAGTTAACCATCGCTTTATTGGTGTGATGGATAGATTAGATTGAGTACTAAGTAACTAATGGATATATTTGATTGTTTTACCAATATTTTATACTAAAACATTAATGATTGTGTTGTCAATTGTACGAATCGTAATTAACAAGTCATTATGTGTACGACTTTTCTTTTGTTATTGTAATTATTTCTTACTTTTTGTTAATTAAGCGATACATACAACAAATAATATTATCTCAATTACATGTATTTAATTTTATTAACGTAATACCAAAAACACTTTTGTTAATAACAATGACTGTGCCAATAACTTTTTTTGTGTTTTTTTTTCAAATCTTTCATTCAATTGAAGTACTTTTCTTTTTTTAAATAACGTACGTGGAATTCTAATCCTTTTCATTATATTTTAAACAAAGGAAGATTCCCCGTACTGTTAAGAAAAACCGCGTTATTGTGTTTTCAAAGTCATATTTATTAAACTTTGGGTTAAAAGGTTATTTTTATGGAATGCCATTATTAGGGACTATTTATCTGGATTTTTTTTATAGTAGACGGTACTCTCATTTACTAATTATAAAATTAAAAATAAATAATTTAAATCAGTTTTCGGCACAGTCAGCAATTTTCTATAAATTTTTAATATCAAATGCTGTTTTAAAGTATTTGGACTTAGTAAAAAGGTGGTCATAAATTCCTAAGTAATTTCTAGACTCGCCGGACTCACGTTTTAGTTGAATATTTTATTACAGGACTGTGAGATTTCACGAAAAGGATGACTTTATATTCGTTACTGGTAAAAGTTTAAATGTTTTAAAGTAGAAATTCGACTAAAACTTACCTATGTTCTTTGAAACTTAGTATTATTTATTAAAAATTACATATAGTATAATTAAAAACAAAAAACTGTTATCTATACTTCCATACTAATATTATAAAGAGGAAAGATTTGTAATTTGTATTTTTGTATGTATTGAAATAACTCAAAAACTACTGGGTCGTTTTTAAAAATTCTTTCACCGTTAGAAAGATAATTTATCTGTGAATAATATAGGCTATATTTTATAATTACACGCGGGCGAAGTCTCGAGCAATAGCTAATACAAAATAATTCTGCTATTAGTTAACTTATAATAAAAAGTAATTTTCCTTATTCAAGTAAAGGTCGTTCACCTTCGATGAAATTGTCGCCCCAATATAATAAAATTCACGCTCAAGGAGTTGCGTAACAATTTTCTATTTAATTTATATAGGCCTTTTTCATAAATCAATTTGAGTCGTCGTTTCAGCTTCGATATAATTTAAAAAATTATTCTGCAGTCGTCATACCTCATACTTCAATATTATAAATGCGAAAGTTTAGATGGATGGATGTTTGTTAGAGTTTGTAACCAAAACGGCAGAACGGATTTCGATGAAATTTGGAATAGATGTAGTGGATAGTCTGAAAGAATACATAGGCTACTCATTTTTTTTCCACTCGGACGGAGTTGTGGGCGAAAGCTAGTATTTCTATAAGTATTATTTAACATGTTACTTCGTTTTATTTAATTAGTAAACAAAGAAAAAAATATAGTTATGATTGTAATATACACTGTAATCTCAACTTTAAAAGTAACGAGCATCAACATATAGCGCAGACTGTTAATTAATTTAAAAAGAAATAATGAGGTATAGGGCGCATCATTATCTCTGGAATGAAATACAGTAATCTATACTTCTATACTAATATAATAAAGCGTAAACACACACTACTTCGTGACGTTGGATTCCAATAATCACTGCATGTTATTGAATAATTCTTTCTTAAGTATCTTGAATATTACATCTACACTTACGACACTTTAGGCTATATGTTTTCACGCTATTAAACTTAGGGGGTGAATGAATTGGAAAAACCTTCATGTGCGAAAGGGGTCATAAATTACAAGCTGCCAACATTAAGGGAACCAGGTTATTATGGTTACACTAATTTTGACATTTGCAATTGAGAATTTAACAAATGTGAATAATAAAATGAATGTTTTTTTCATGCGGATGAAGTCGCATTGAAACAGCTAGTATATTATAAAATTAAAAGCATCCGGACCGAGAGGGCACAGATGCTAAAAGCTTTTATCAGTTTTCAGTTTAATGTTGGTTGATCAGATATTTCAGTGCGAGGTGAATCGAATTACTGAGCGTAATTGAATTGACTGTGACCAGAGTATACGACGACTTCATAAGCCTGTGACCTGGGGCAGATATACATAACTTACATGATAAAATTAAACCAAACCATCACATTTATTAAGAAAAATATTGATAAATTAAAATACGTTACAAATAATATTACTAACTGCATTGTATATTTGTTGTTGTTTGTAAATGTTATGTTGATGTAAATTGTTTTGTTGTTAATTAACTTATGTCATTTTTAGTTATTAACAAAAAAACAACACTTACTTCATCATTAAAACTCATTTTTCCGTCAGATGTTTATATCCAACTAGCTGTTGCACGCGACTTCATCGGCGCGAAAATATAAAATAACTACCTTTCGCCCGCGACTCCATCCGCGTGTAATTAAAAAAAAACAAAAGTGAGTAGCTTATGTGTTCTTCCAGACTATCCTCTACGTCTATGTCAAATTTAATCGAAATCCAGTTAGCCGTTTAGGCTACAAAGTCTAACAAACATCCATCCATCTAAACTTTCGCATTTATAACATTAGTATGATAATAATGTGTAGCATATGTTATTACCAGATAAATTCCCTTTATAACGGTGAATCTTTCCTCTTTATAATAGTATAGATTTAGATAAAACTAAAACAGTTTTATTATAGACGTCATAATGGAGACAATCATAACTTCAAAAACCTAACTAAAGAATGATGTAAACAAAGTGAGGAAGTAAGAATTGAATACAACGCAATAAACAAACTTGCGTCGCACACCGAGTAGAATCCATTTCAGACTTCACAATACAAGCGAAGTTTAAATGGATTTTACTCAATATGTGATGTTTCGATGCGCAGCGTTGATTCTCTGGGGGTACACATTCTGATAACATCTACATGTCATTTTTTAAATTACATTACATATATAAAAGCAGAAGTAATAATTATAATATTTCTACGCTACAATCTTATTAATATAAATGCGAAAGTTTAGATGGATGGGTGTTTGATAGAGTTTGTAGTCTAAACGGCTTATCGGATCTTGATGAAATTCGGCATAGACGTAGAGGATAGTCTGAAAGAACACATAGGCTACTTGCTTTGTTTTTTTTTAATTTCATGCGGACGGAGTCGAGGGCGAAAACTAGTTATCTAATAATGTCCATTCATTTTTTTTAATATAAATTGCGTTCGATATACAACGCTTTATAATAAAAAGGAAGTATAGCAAATTGCTTTTGATAATAAATCTAACATTCATATTTCGTTAGACAAGAACTTTAATATTAATAGAATAAGCAATCATTGCGATTGATTAATGTTTCTGTGGTTTTACTACTAACGAATCAAGAGCATAAGGGATATCGTCGTCTCGCTCATTCCCTTTGTAAATAGAGGGATAACAATATGTTTAACATTGGTGATTCAGCAATGTGAACTTACAGTTTGATGTAGCAACGCTTGTACAGCTGCGGTTCCGTTCGTGAATCGCTAACATCCTCCATGCATAAGTAAAATGTTCACTATTCCCTATCAATTGATTTACACAATTGCACCGCTATACATACTGTTACTCGTTGTTAATTTATTACATCGCTTTGTTATGTTCTGGTCCATAGTTAATTTCAGCAGGATTTTGTTGTATTTTTTAGATTTAAGAATATGTTTGTACAAGCTTTTCAGCGCTGAAAAACTTCAGTTATATGACGTATGTAAATTATAGCTTTTATGTTCCTTGAAACATGTTTTAATCTTACTTGTCACTTATACTATTAATGTGAAAGTTTGGATGAATGTTTGTTAGAGTTTGCAGACTTAACGTAAAAAACGCATAGTTTTTTAAAATACCGGATAGAGTCGCAGGCGAAAGCTTGTATAAGTATAAATATTATATAGGAAAACGTAGAAATTCTAGATAATGTTTCGTAAATCGTATGAAAAGTTTGAATTGTGTTTTCAAGTCTCATTACAAAAGAAATAAACATTGAGTGGAGAAACCCAAAGACACTATAATGTTCGTTTCCGAATCTTATTGCTGGACAAAGTTTTCCGACTAGTTACATTGTTATGTTTCTCTCATCTTTGACAACTGGCATTAGATGTTATTGCTTGTAATTATTTTTATGTAACTGCCATAGATTTAGCTTAAGAGATATTGGATGAAACTTGTGATATAAATTGTGAAACATTTTAAATTAAGAGTTCCGGTAAAAGTAAACTTAATTAAAATTGATCAAACATTTAACTTCAGAGACTTGTATAAAGATAATAAAGTTTTTACTAAGTCATAATAAAGATTTGTAATTAACGAATCTTTTATTTTACTGCGGAATTCGTAATACATAACATATTATTGGAAAAAAGTCATGCGACACAAAATGGACATGTATAGGGAAGATACCAGCGTCTTAAATATTTAAAAAGTTCGATATCCTCACAAAGACTTTGTTCATCGAATATTGATATATTGTGCTATAGCACAATCCCTTTGACGGCTTTTTAAACTCTATAGAAAGGAAACAACTTTAGTAAAGATTTTGATAGTTACAAAAAATCTTTACTTCGACATAGATACTGTTATAAACTTCACAAAATACATTCTAAATTAATCCAAGATTATGGCACAATCTAATTTAAAATTTAACCGATTTTGACTTATTGACTTCTGCTTTAATTTCCCCACAGTATAATACAAAAACGTACTTCTAATTTCTCCAGAGGTAATCTACACTTTCACCCTTTAATGTACTTCATAACTAATTATACTTCGAAACCAATTTACAAGTTAGAAGGACATTCAATGTAAAACACGAGGCGAACGAAAATAAATTTGATCTCATTTTAAAATTTAAAATGAAA